TCAGGCCCATGACACAGTCCTATTCGGCCCATTAAATTATTTTAATTCTCTATTATTATTAGCCCGTTTCACCCTGGGATGCTTTACAGTCCCCAGAATGCACTGCAACATAGTGTGCGTTCTGACCCCCGTAAAAATCTCTGGGCCAAAAAAAAGAAAAGAAAAGAAAAGATGCCTGGTGTCTAGTTGAAGCAAATAGGCAGTTTAAAAAAAAAACTACCTAAAACAGTTTATTTTCATTTAGAATTATTTTCGAATAAGTATTTCATGCCTATTTTGCTGTTTCAGTTTTGGCATATTTTCAGTAAACAATGGCCCATTTGGGTAAAAAAAAAAAAGTAAAAATGAAATAAAAACACAGCTGGCCTGCAGATTTGCTGAGATTTTTTAATATGGCCCTTTTAGTGGTTGAGTTTGACGCCCCTGACATACACTCTGTATTTACACTGCTGTCAGATACGCACTATGGGCTGTTTTTTTGGATATGGATTAAATCTAGTTTTGGACTAAACTGCAACTGTCAAACATTTTTCATCATTAAAAATCCAATTTAGTCTAGGCCTGGGCTTAACCTCAGTCTGGTTCTTAATGAGGGTTAATTTAAGAATAGAGCGGTAGTGGTAGTGCCAATTTTCTTAAATGACCTCAAACAACACTTTCTGTACATTGCTCATGCTCCTGTTTCTACAATAGGGATAACAACACTGCAAGAAGCTTGGTTTTGTACTAATTCCTCGAATATTGCACCAATTCTAACACCTCTAATCTATTAAAAAGTAAAATGTCAGTGTCAGACATGCTTTCCAAGAAATTGCGTCTCCACAATGGGAGTTTCGGTTGTTATCATGCGCAATTTTGTGCAGATCCCTGCTATCAAGAGATGTGTTGTTCTTGGAGATTCAAGTCAAAGATTCATTCTGAACTCTTCTTGTGCTGGCTGAATCCTTTCCATTTCAGGATGTGTGAAAAAAGCCTCTAACAGAGCTTGAAAAGCAAACGACAGCGACCACTGCCATTTACAGAAGCTTCTACTTGAGGCAAAAAGCCAGTTCAACAGAAAAGGACTAGCGCAGTTCTAGTTACCTCAGTGAAAGGCTGAGTGAGGTACGCTGCGCCTCTTGCAGGGGGTGGCGTGGCCCCAGCGTAACTGTTTTTTCAGGATTAATTTCCCAACGGGATCAACGTGGAATGGGGATTTTAATCCTGTGCTTTGCATTCCCATGATACGCAAGGTGACTTCTGCCTCCCATCACGACTCCGCCAGTCCTCGGACTTTGTTTTCATGGCATGTTTTCTGTTCAAACAGGAGGAAGACCAATAGAACAAAAACTTCAGTGTAGCTGCAGTAAAGCCTGTGTACATTAAATGAACAAAAATCTTTCTTCACCTATAGATACACTCCTCGTTTAATAGCTAAGCTACTTTCCCCACAGCGACCTTTTCTTGTATTATGCGCCGTGAACAGAAATAATCACTTCCTAATTTTAGCTAAATCTCTTTCAATTGCTTTTCAATTGCAGAAGGGAACGCCAAACATTCCATCATAGCATTATGAACGTTAATCTCAGTATAATAGGAACTGACATGGACGGTATGTTAACTAGCAGCTAAGGTACATCTAAACATGTTTTACTTCCTCCTCGCACAACAGCCAGAGGCTTCTATCCTAAGATGAGGGCAAGAACTTAGGAGAACCCTTCAGTCTGAGCCTCGGGTTGGCCTTCACCCATGCAGCAGGCTAGGTCTATTCCCTGTTTTAAGTCATCTGGAAACTTGTTGACAAGCCATCCCAAGGCATCTGGGGTGCAGACGATAGGATCAGATCAGAAGCACATGTCAGAGACGGACTGCGGGCTTCTATAACGATCCAGCGAAGGACTTGTTGTTTGCAGTGTTGGAAGATGTGTTGGGGTGACAAACGAAACAGGAGAGAAACCAAGGCTTCTTCTCGAATTTCATTATGCAATAATGGTTGACCATAATCAAATTGAAGACATATTTCGTCTTGCTCCGAGACACTATGCTTGTCGCAGAGCTGTGACACTTTTGGCCGATGCAGGGCCCTCCGTGACAGCGAAAGAAAACAGAGCGCTCAAAGTTTTGGATGACACCTTCACTATCATTCTGACTTTTCTCTCATACCGAATACCATCTTTGATGTCTACTGAATCAAAGCTGAGATAATGGGCTGACTTTCAAAACACTGGCTCACAGACCACACTTTATAAGAGGCTCTCCTTATCATGCCATTGAATTTGTGCTGATCCAGTGCAGAGAAAGGTCCTGCTCTGGACAAAACTTCACCACTGGCTAAAAGTGGCCTTTAAGGAAATGTGAAATTCACTCATGCAGACAGTAACACAGGATATACAGAGAGACAGCATGATTGGAGTGGGCGCACATGATGGGTATTGTACTGCAAATATCCAATTACAGTCAAATAATGACTCAGATTGCCCCCTTTTTGCCTCTAACGCTGTATTGAGATGAATTAGTTTCAAAACCTGTTTACCCCAGCTGCAGCACTAAACAAGCTTCAACAAACTCAGTTGGGCAAACAACATGCTCATAAATCTGCTGAAATGCTCAGTAAACAACATAAAACACAAGCGTGCAGTTGGTTTCGATGCCTCAAAGTTTCAATGTTGGCAGTCATTACTAATGACAGTAAGATGAGAAGTTTATGAGGCTGAGGTGTCTGTAAAAGCTACATGTAAGGAAACCACAAGACTAAGATGATAAATTGACTAATTAATACAAGAATAAATTTAATCGGGACCAGACCAGTAAATCTCTTGCACATCCCTGAATTGGTTTTAAACTGTGTGTATCTAACCTTGCCAAGAGATCTGGCTTCAATGGTGTGCTAAGCCTCTATTTTAAAACTAGGGTCAGACATTTAGCCGATTCATCATGAGGAAACTACTGCAGTCCAGGAAACTCTGCTGAAGATTCTAATTAAAGGCTTTTCTTTAATGACAACAATAATATGCTTCACTGCATTTCTAGTATCCTTCTGGGACATTGAATTCATTCATCTTTGTTCAGGCTGTTAAAGTGTATTGTAGGAGAGAGCTTTAATCCAGGTGGTCTCTGACTTTTATTCCTCACGTAATAACTATATGCTTTAAAATAGTTACTGAAATAATTAGTAACTGATTTGATTAGTAACTGAATAATAAGCCTAGCAAATAAGGGTGGAATGTCACAAATATGTAACATCATAATGGTTTTAATAGGATGCGATCTGCACCATGATATTTAGTTTTGCGATTAAATTGCAATGGTCAAAACGCACCTGTGCCACATTTTAAAAAAGATTTGAGCAAGATTAATCTTTTTTTATATAAGCAACCTACAAAAACATAAACATTTATTTACAGCATCTGCCATTTATGAACAATTCAGCCCAAACTGACCCCAATGGTGGGGGTAACTGTAACAGACTGAGGGGCTAGTTGTAACGTCGCTAAAATGTCTGGTAAATTGATGCAAACACAATTAATTCAATACAATCATTTGCTGTTTGAACCAGGTGAGCTTTCCAACTTAAATGCATAAAAATATACATCAAAATAAATATGATCAGCGAAAAGAGGCTATGTCAAACACTGGCAAATGTCAGAATGATATTTTTTCCTTAACATTTGTATTATATATTTAATGAATCTCTAACCTGGTTAGCTTTCACTGTGACTTACTTACATGCTTTAAAATGGTGCTGTATTATTGCCACCAAGAGGGTGATTCAAATAATACAGGTGTGAGCTCAGTAATCAAAATACACTTGTGACAAAAAAGCTGCTTTACGAGACCGTGACCAGAAACACGTTCTACTTTAACCTATTTAATTACATAAAAATCCATGCAGGCATTAGGTACCCTGTTCTCCCCTACAGTGCTTTTTTTTAAATTCAATGTTTGCAAAAGTAACCTATTCAAGGAGGAACAGGAGGAAAAATCATTGGTATATATATATATATATATATATATATATACATTTACACATATGAAATAAATTAATAAACTGGGCCGTGAACGCGGTATTTAATATGTTTTACTGTTCGCAGTTCCTTCCACCAAATTATAGTTCCTTAATAAGCAGTTTGTTGCTACGTCAGAGTAACGAACTCCACTCACTCGCTGCACAGTCTGCTGTAAGCCTCGCCTTTTGAAGTACGAACTGAGCCATACAATATCAAGTTTAGCTCAGTTTTGTCAATTTTTGCCAGATCAGTATTAATGTTGTTTTGTTCCAGCCAGTCTGTAAAGCATCTTACAGCCCATTTAGTTTGGCGAATGGTGTTGGGTTCATTTCTGGCTGATTCCAGGTTGTTTAGCTGTTCTTCTGTTTCAGCTGCCGACTGAAAAGCTGCTCAGTGGTGATGACAGTTATAGTGTCGTCTCATCTTCAGAGTCTGACCAAATCGGCTGTCGGTCAAATGTGATCTTAAAAGTGTCCATTTTCTGTTTGTGGCAAAGTAAGAAGTAAAAACGTTGAAATGGCTTGAGCGTCTCTTACAGCTGTCAAAGTTGTTGCTTAGCAACGGCGTCACAGCGGAGTGACTGTTGTATAAATACATATATATATATATATATATATATATATATATGAGTATGTTTTCATACAACAGTCACTATGTATACACACACACACACACACACACACACATACTTATAAGACTATATGCTTGCCATTCTTCTTTACAGGTTCTCCAGAAATGGTCTAAATCTGTTTTTTATGTTAAAAGTCTTTCCTATGATACATGTTCTAGAAGTACCGACTATAACCATGATATACTCTGCAAAGCCATACTTCATCATGATAATGATAACATATTGTCCTTTTGGCCATCCCTGCTGAGACATAATGGGTTAAGCTGGGCTCCATATGGGAGTCTAGCGACGTTGCACCTACTTTTTGATATCTTACACCAGTATTTCCCAACCCTGGTCCTCGTGTAACCCACAGCCCCACGCATTTTTAGCGATAACACACCTGAAACCTCACCGGCTTGAGGTTAAAGCAGGTAGGAGAACACCAGGAGCAGAACTGCACCCCTCTGCCATTTGCCCGGTGCTAATTAGTATCCCAGTGGTCCCAATGAGGTTGAAGTGCTGCAGTCTGGCGGGTGGTGCTCTCAGTGCTCCGCAGCTATAAAGCCCCGTTCGCTGGAGACGGCACACACACTCGCACTCACTCCCTCCGAGCAGCCCCCTGATGCTGCCGCAGCTCTAGGATGTTATCACGCGAAGCTCCACACCTTTCCACAGAAGACCTGACAGCTCCGTGATAAATGCGCTTCTCTCTGTGGGAGATACGACATGTGTCCACAAGACGAAATGCTGCTGTTTCGTGGCTCTCGGCTCTTTGATAACTCCGGTCCAGCTTTGGAATTAATCTGAACCACCTCTCAAGTCTCGTTTTCTCCCCAGTCGGACACGTTGTTGTTTTGGAGTAAGAGTGGGATGGCCAAGGCGTCCTGGATGAATTTAGGCGTTTTGCTGCTAATCGGATTGACTGCTGCAAACGCCAACGGTGAGAATCCCAATGAGGGCAAGTGTGGAGTTTGGAAAGCGTCTCTTTGTCGTGTTGGTCTTCATCGCTCTGCCCAGTATGAGCCAAAAGAGGACAGGAAAGACGTGAAGGGACGAGGTTTCGACGCTGCTTTAGTCTTGGCTTATTTAAAATGGTACAAAAGAAGGTTTTCAAGGCCAATATGGACACGCAGCGTATCACTAATTAAAAAAGGGTTGTTTTTTTTAATTTAAGTTGTTTACAAAACGCGTTGCTTGGCAGTGATGTTCATATGGACCGCTGGAGGTTATTTATTGCTTTGTGTAAACAGTTTAACTGTGTAAGCTGATAGTGACTTACAGCTGGAGTTACAGTCAACCTTAAACTGTCAGGGGCACCAAAACAAGCCAAACTCACCTGAACGCTGAGGGGAAACTGAGAGGAGGTGATAAAGGAGGAAAAACCTGAGAACAACCCAAAGGCCTCATCACCTGCAGACTGTAAACAAGAGCAGAAAATAACAGAAAAGAAAAGAAATGAGGAAAAATTATAAAAAAAACATAAACCGTTTCCATTTTTTTTACTTTTCCTGTCCTCAAGTCTCCCTTTTTTCCCTCCTTTTTTCTGAGGTTACAGGTTGTAACAACAAACGATGCTTTGCTTTCACCTGAAATCCTGTTTCACTTTGTGATAAATGTGGTCTGTTAAGCTTTAAATGTTTATTTTACCTCACAAAACTCCCCAAAAGCCGCTCAGCGCTGATTTTTACTGTACATTTTTGTGATTTTTCTGTTTGTTTTTTTTTTGTTCCAGGTTTCCCGCCGCTTCCTGAAGACGCTCGCGAGCAGAACGCCACGGCGCAGACGCGGTCCAGCAGCGCCGCGGTCTCGGTTCCGGCGGCGGCGCGCGGGCGAAGAACGCGGAGATGCACGTGCTATACGTACAAGGACAAGGAATGTGTTTACTACTGCCACCTGGACATAATCTGGATCAACACCCCGGAGTAAGGCTCAGCTTATAACAGCTATTTATTTATTTATTTGTTTATTTGATTGATTGATTGATTGATTGATTAGGCTATTGCACCTAGCCCCTTAAATAGGCTAAAGTTAAACTCAAGATAGAGCTGAACGATTTGGGGAAAATAATTAATTGCAATTTTTCTGACTAAACACTGCGACTGCAGTTTAAATGGCGATTATTTTCTATAAATTAAGGTTCAGGCCTGTTTATTTATTTATTTATTTATTTATTTTTGCCAACAAGACCAGAACATCCACTGAGTTTCTGGCCTGAGGTTACACTCCTGGATTGTGTGCTAGATGGCCAGCAAGTTGTGGTTGTGATGTCACAACACATCTGATTGGTCTAACTTATCTGCAGGCAGTTCACAAGCTCCGTGTTATTAGGTTAAATTTCCCCACCTAAAACTTAAGACAACATTTTAAATGTTAAATTGTGATTTCAATGTGAAAATTATTTGTCTTTCAGCCCTAACAAATGTAGAAACAAATGTATTTAATTTACAAAAAAAAAGTTTTAAAGCTTTAGTTAAGCTGTTTCAATTAAATTTCAATCACTCATTCTTACATTTCTGATAAATATATGGTAAACATTAGAGGTGGACGATTTATCGAGAATTTAATATCACGATAATTTTCACGATACACGATATGCATCGCGACATTTCTTTTTTCGGACACTCTTTAAGTACTGACGATATCCATGATATTGTGACATACTTTATCACAATAACGATATAATATTATCATATCGCCCGGCCCTACAGTCCTCTACCTAAAATTTGTATTTTTTTCTGTACCGACTTGAACCGTATAAGAAAATCACAAAATCTAAAGACAAAAGTGACCAATGTTGTATGGGAGTAAGTCTAGTATATGAGCTGATATTTTAACGTTAATTCAAAGTTAGTGGGCAATTCATCAAGTTGGTTTGGGTTAATTTACAAGACTAGTACAAACTCTCATACTTCATAAAGAAACATTGGCTATAACCCCTTTTTAGAAGGATATAAGAAAGGCTTCCATGTGTAATGCAGTCATACACTATGTAGGCCTCACTTACTGTAATCAGAGAGGCGTGTTGGTGCGAGAGCGTCTGAATTTGCTTGCCTCGTTAAGCGAAGAGCTCGTTTCTGAATCTTATTTGTACCTCTGCGTGTCTGCGAGAGGATGTGACACATGCTGAATGCATGACGTCCCGTGAGGCTGTTTCTTTCATGCTTTGTGAAACGCTAGAAGGAACAACAAAATCTGACCGTGTTACAATTCATACAGTCTCCTCATTTAGTCCAGATACTCACTCTGCATGTAGGACAGTTAATAGGCTGATTAAGAGTTCCACATAAAACCTGTATCTTTCAGGACTAAACAGAACGGACAGACTTCAAAGAGATGCTTTCTTGACACGATGCTTAGTGGAGTAACTCTTAGCAGATGAGGCAGGGAGCTCTCTGGGCAAAGCGCTGCAGATGTACTCGGCCTCAGAGCCTGTTCCAGTTGCGTTCCATATGGTGCGAATAACGCCAGCGTAGCAAGGTGTATTCTCAAGTTTACAGACTTCACTTATTGCTTTTGGAGGTCAGACTGGGTCACGGGTCCCTCCCTTCGAGTAACACCTGCGTGAAACATATAGGATCAGCGGCAGTGCAGTGTCAAGTTGTTACGCAATCAAAAGGCTCCGAGGCTTTCAATATATCTGTCAGTCAAAATGATCTGTGGAGATGGGTGAATCTTGTGCATAATACACAAAGGCTTTAATATTGTGAGGTTAAAAATAATCATGCGTGCTTTGGAGCGATTTCATAGAAGAGCCGCTTTTAGTTGCTAATGAACCTCTCAGTCGATGGTGCTTAGTGATTGGGTGAGGCTGATGAACTTAGTTAAGTCTCCACAATAATATACACCCAAGCCAAGAACCTTTATTTTTAATAGTGCAGGAGGGCTATAGTGATACCACGTCTTTTGTTTGTGTAACACAAATGCCTTTTCTCGTACCTCATTCCTTTTATTTTCCATTGGCTTTCCCTTTGCCAGGTTTTTCCCTAGTGTCCATTGATCATAATCCAACAGCTGTTTTTAACATGTCTTGTTGCTGGACCTTAGCTACAGAGGGCTTTGCGAATGTGACAGGATGATGGGAAAATTATTTCCTCTGATTTGTTGCTCTCATTGTTTATGTTTGTACAGAACAACTCGAGATGGACAGTGTTGTAATAATGTAATACTAGATGTAATAATACCACTGTCTCCGCTTTTAAATAGGCCCACTTACACCACACCTCCTCAAACCGCATGGAAACCGAAAAGATCTTTCATTGTTGGTGGGTGAGCGGTGTTGGCTGCTCTATGACTCTAACATGGCCAAGTGTTTTTTATGAGCGTGTGCTTGGCATTAAAGTTTTAAAGGGGCATTCCGGCCCAAATCTAGCATTGAATATGTTATTTGTCACATTATACAGCGTTCTGTAGCTCAGTGTTGTACTCTCAGCTTGACAGAATTCAAAATCTGATGTTATTTTCATGTTTTTGTATATCAGTATTCCCAAATACATCAAAGAGCCATTGGGAATCCCTGCTGTGTCAGCCAATCTGGACTTTATGTCTATTCACTGATCTACAGGCTAATAAAAACAACCAGTTAGTGTAACTCTTACCTCCGCTGTCCATTCTGTGTCCATGCAGCACAAAATGGATGCCAGGAACAGGTTTTTTGCCTTTTAAGTCAGAGAAAAGGAGGTAGGATATCTACATAGCCAGATAGCTGGCTGTCCCCCTTGTCTGAGGGGTCATTCCTGTATGTTGCTGTTTAAAAAAATGTATCTCCGTTTGTTTTACTTTGTATTTTTCTACATTATTTGAGCACAGCAGTTGTCCAATATATTGTGTGAAACTTCCATGATTAATGGACCAGCAGAAATGCTCTAAATTATTCAGAATAAAGTCTTGTTACATTAATTAGCATTAAAAGTTTAAAATGTTTTTGCCTTCTCCTGTAGAGTTACCATTTTGTAGATACCTGTTTTTTTGTTTTTGTTTTTGTTTTTTTTTTTGTGGTTTTGGACGGCGAATATATTTGAATATTTAGATTCCAGTAATGTTAAGTATCTAGCTTCATTCTGCAATTGCCAGCTAACCAAAAAAATAATTAAATAAACAGCCCACCCCAAAAAATGTACTAAGCGGCAGTAGTTCCTCCCACACTCTCAGAAATAAAGGCAGTAAACCGTCACTGGGGTGGTTCCCTCAAGGGTCCATCTCAGTACCTTTAGTCAGGGAACATAACTGAACCATAATCCACTGAAATGATATGTTCTAAGCTGTACTGACTCCACACACCCCGTCTCGTCTCCAGGCTTTTATTTTACTGTTCTGTTTTAAAACATTCGGTTATGAAAAGGTACAAATATGAACTTTTCACCTGGAAAAACTTATTTCAGGTTCACAATCTGGCCTTAAAACCACTGTTGTACCTTTGAGGGAACACTTACACTGTTTGTACCTTGATGAACGAAAAATGTACCTGAACAAAACCTTTATTTCTAACAGAGCACCTTAGAGACACATCGTGAGAAGAACAACTCTTTAAACTGAAAAATTCTCACACTACTGTAGCACTGCTGTAGGATGAAAGTAGGCATGTTTACAAGAGATGTAGAGATGCTTATACTTTCCATTTTGGCCGGAGTGTCCCTTTTCATGGATTGTGTCATTGAGTGCAAAGATGGAATCAAAGCAAAGCGGTCTAAAAAAAACCTAAAGATCATAAGTGCCCTAAATCAATCATTGTGTAGCACTAAGTACAGGCAGGTAGATAACTATTAGAAGTAAAAAGACAGCAAGGCAGAAATTCCCAAAATGGAACTCTTGATGTTCAAAAGGTTTGAGAGGTAAAAAACATCAGTGCATATTAGACCTGAGGGCAAATCACATTCAAAGCTCTCCAGTTTTCCATTCACTTGTATAGTAACATCTGGATGGATGTTTCTGACTGTCTCCCTGCTGCTGGTGTGTTGACAGGCGCACCGTCCCGTACGGCATGTCGAGTTACAGAGGCTCGCAGCGTGTGCGGCGCTCCGTGGCAGGTGGGAACGAGGCACAGCGTTGCCTGTGTGCTCTGGAGACCGATTCTGCATGCAGCAGCTTCTGTACTGAGAGGTAACTCTAAACCATTGCTTCTGCGCACTGAACACAGCAGGCCTTTGGCTGTCGTGTCGAAACTCACTCAGCAAGTGAAACTCATTCATGTAGCAGTTTTATAGTGATTCTTTGAGTGAAGAGTCCCAGCACAGAGCTACCACCATGGTTTTACATTCCTAAAAACAGACTACAGCCTGTATAGGCTACCACTCGTATTCACAGTCTGTGATGTATAAAAGACTCCCAGAAGGCCTGGAGTGACATTTTTTTCTTTACGGAATTGATCCCACCCACTGTCAGTCAGAAGATGTTTGGAATCCTAATTCTGTTGATAGTTATTCTGGCCCAGCATAGCTTAGCTGTTTCAGCTTAGATACCATGGGGAAAAAGTACTAATTGGACAATTTTCCATTGGCTGGATTAAGATTTTTTTTCTTTAAGATTTTAATTTTAACTCTTTTGTTTCCAACAAAGACTTAACAATGAAATAAAAGTAAATAAAAATAAACAAGACATGACTTTTTTAGTTGCCAGGAATCGTTAGGCCCTCTCTGAAGGCCTAGAAGGCCCTGGGTGATTTCCACTGATTCCTTTAAAGCAACTGACAGGCTTTACAAAATGCTGGCCAAAAACTCATTCAACCTAAAGAGACATAGTAGAGCTCAAATCAGTTTTTGCAAAAAATATCTAAATTTAGAGTGTGTTATTAATTTCAAACAGTTTACCTTATTTACACATTAAAGGTCATAAAGTTCAAATGGAGATTTTTTGTCTTTATAATCAAGTAAGCATGGTGGCATCGGCTTACTTGGGAGTTGTCATTGTTTACAACCTGTCAACATAGTCAAACTCAGTGCAAAGCATTTAAAACTGAAAGCTCAATGTTTTGTAGCAACACTAAATAAGATCACTACAGTTTTTCATTAGGTTAAACATTTTTTTGCCAGGTTTCTATGAACCTCACAAAATTTGCCAAGAAAGAACTAATTTGTGGGCAGAGCATGGGTAGCTCAGTTGGGAGCTCAAGTAGAGTACAGATTTTACAATTTATGCTTACTTATTTCTGTGCCTGGGCCAGTTTTCTAGGCCCATATTAAAACTAATGTGAAACTAATAAGGATTTTCATTGGTGAATCACCAAAAACATTGTAGTTTAGTCCAAGACCGGACTTAATCCATGTCCAATAGAACAGCCATTTATCAAGAAAATTTACATTTATTCATTTAACAAATCTGCAAGGACAGTTTGGTCTGGTTGAATAAATACCACTGTACATGTAAATGTAAATAGTAGCACATCTTTCATTGACTGTTTAGTTGATTGTTGTGTCTTTTTTGTTGTGTTTCATCAGGTGTAAGTCACCATGACCTTCAGTTCCAGACAAGCTAAACCATATTGGAAACATCCCATCCATGCATTCTTCTGTCCTAACAGCTGGGGACTCATCTTAAGAGTATGGCTTACCTCTGTCTGAGGAGGAGGAATTCCATTATTCGCGGGAGACATGAAAGGACAAAGGAGAGGAACAATGGAGATGATGGAAATAAGCCAAAGCAAGATTTGATAGGAGAGTATTTAACACACCAACCAACTTTAAGCTAACTCATCGCATTACGGCATGTCTTCTGGACCTACGTGGCCACCAAGGCTAACATTCTGTCTTTACAAACAGAGGACCTTCCAGATCGTCATGACTAACAATGCACCGGTTTACATTTCTTTCTTAGCAGTCATCTGCCTGTGCTCATATTTGTGTGCGAGATTAACATTTGCTATGATCTGACTTCCAAATCCACCAAGCAAGGCTGGTTTGGTGAAGTCACTGAGCCATTCAGCAGGACAGATGGTTGCAAACTTCGCATTCTGAGGTGTTTCTCATTTTTTACACGGCTTCTGAATAGACAGCACTTAAATATGGACTCCAAGGCAGAGAAACAAAATGGAGGCCTGTACATAAAGTAATGATTTCAAGCTGTCAAGTAGACCAACTTTATACCTGTGAAAAATCATTTTTTCATAATATAATCATACCTGTGAAAAATCTTTTTTTTTTAAATAATATAATTACATCATATTTTTACTTTTGGTAAATATGGACAATACATCAAATACAGTAAATTGCATAAAATATTTAACACCTTATTTCATAGTCATACAGTCCTAATGTTTCTAGATCGTGTCCTTTTATCTAGAAAGCCCCTTTCTTCTGTGGTCACTATATAAAAGATAATTTGGCTTGTAAGGTCAGTTTGATAAAGAATTCAGAAGGACAAAAGGACGACTTCCTAGCTTTACCTGTTTGTTGGTCACATTTGTGGATTAAATCATTGTTTTATCATTTATTATGCATATCCACACAAAAATAAAGGTTCCAGATAGGGTTCTGGGGAGTATTGTCATAGAAGAACCACTTTTGGTTCCCCGAAGAACCTTGCAGTGGATAGATCTTTATAGAACCAAACAGGGTTCTGTGGAGTATTGTCATTGAAGAACTACTTTTGGTTTCCCAAAGAACCTTTCAGTGGATGAATCTTTATAGCACCAAATAGGGTTCTGTGGAGTATTGTCATAAAAGAACCACTTTTGGTTTCCCAAAGAACCTTTCAGTGGATGAATCTTTATAGCACCAAATAGGGTTCTGTGGAGTATTGTCATAAAAGAACCACTTTTGGTTTCCCAAAGAACCTTTCAGTGGATAGATTATTATAGAACCAAATAGGATTCATTGGAGTATTGAAACTGAAGAGCCACTTTTAAGTTTCCCAAAGAACCTTAGAGTGGATGGATCTTTATAGAACCAATAGGGTTCTGTGGAATATTGAAATTGAAGAGCAACTTTCAATAGATGTCTCTTTTAAAAACATATAAATAAGCTGGATGAGTGTGAAGAACCTTGCTAAAGTGCAATGAACCTCCACATAATGTAAAGGTTCTATATCATACAGCCAAGCCGAGAGGAACCTTTATTTTTTAGCCTGAAAGTCTGAAAGCATGTTCTCATGCTATTCACTCCAAAATCATTCCCCCCAAACCCCTAAATGGCAAATTATCATTATTTATTCATTTTTCTTTCAGTACTCAGAGTTTCCGCTCTACTTTTGTGACCAAAGATGACCCTCTTCTTTGAACAGATGTTCTTTTTTCTGCTTTTTTCATGGCCAGCACTCATATTTATGTATAAAAACATGTACAGTACATCTGTTTAATATTAAATTAAAATTGTCACTGTTACTATCTTCGCTATGGCCATCATTTGTCTTGTCATTTGCAGCGCACCGAGCTGACCTGATGTAGCAAAACAATAGACTGAAGAATGCTGTCAGCAATCACCCGAGCCAACTTTAAACCTGAGGCTCAAGCGTAATATGAATGCCCGGGCTTTACTGCCTCCCTCTTGATTCCAGTGAGTGAGGGCATTATCCTACCACAAGAATTGGTTGTTGTCTTGGAATTTGCCCTGGAAGTGCTCCCATGTCGTTGGTCCAGGAGGGCCAGGACTGAATCATACATGGCAAACGGTCTTCTTGTCTTTATACAAGGTGCACAGGAGTGAAAGGACACCGAGAGAACATATGAACCTCCCAGCTGGGGATGGTTGCATGTTAAGAAAAGACAGACTTTGTAATCCAAGCATTAAATACGTTCCGCCCTATAAACAGGGATTAAGTGGAAATTGCATTCGTCCTTTATCTTCCCCAGGACGAAATTAGAACTAATTTCACTTCCAGTGATCAAGTAACAAATATTTCAGGTATTAGTTTCTTAAAACTAATCCTTACGACGTAAACGGAGTAAATGAAATGGAATAGACTGACTGATGTCTATTCCAAGAACGTTGCGTAAAACAAGCAAACGGCTAAACAGAATAAGCAGAGTTCAGGAACAATAATAAAGGTACAGATCTGACTGAGACCAATTCAATATGCATTTTATTTAAAAAAAAAAAAATAAAGCTTTAAAATGAGCTATTTTTTGTTGAAACAGTTCACTTAAGATGGCTTAAGATGCTCACAGTACTACCCCACAAGAAGAAACACAACAAACCTGACTTATAAAGACCTGCAGCTTCTTTTAAGTTTATTTTTAAACTCTCACATAGACAAAAATATCACTTACACTGCTAATGTGTCCGAAATTAGTCATTCAAAAGATAAGAATTGCAGTTCTTGTCTAACACTTAGCCAGCAACCCTTTGTTTTTATGTTAGCATTATGCTACATCCACTGTTATCATGTGACCTACTTTCCTGCACTTTCTGCTAAGCTACACTACGAGCACATTTTAGGATTGAAGTTCTGTGACCCAACCAGAGCTCCGGTCAGGCTTTCTTTGTTTTCTACTGAGTAATTTTCATGTACTAGATTTGTTTACATTTGAACGAACATGGTAACAAGGCTAACAGTTGATCAGAGGAGGGTGGACGCTGATCTCTACCAGGTACAATCGACATTTGCACCAAAGTTAACTGATAATAAATACTGTTAACGTATTGCAGATGTGAAAAATACCAGTTTAACCCAGGATGATATTTTCTGAGGCTCAACTCAAACACCTAGTAAAGCAAAGCTCTGTAAAACAGTGCTCAGATCATCTGTTTCTGTTTGAGTGGGTTTGAGTTGGGTTTGGGTTTCAGATTTAGCAGTAATGGTTGAGCCTGACTGGGTCGGGTCTCAAAGTCATGGGGTTCGGGCTTCAGTTTCATGCACAGACCTCTACTCAGGGCACGTGTTTAGGAAGAAATACTTAGCCAACAAAGTGACTTGCTCATACAAAGTCAGAGCTAAATTGTTTCACAAAAATAAACAATAAAAAACAAAACAGAAATATAATTTACAATGCTAATTGAATTGAATTCAGAACCATTAGCCAACTGTACTTGCACACAGAGGAATTCGTCCTCTGTGCAGTGAAACACCCACATACATGCACACTAGTGAACACACACACACTAGGGGGCAGTGAGCACACTTGCCCAGGGTGGTGGGCAGCCCTATCCATGGTGCCCTTGGAGCAGTTGGGGGTTAGGTGCCTTGCTCAAGGGCGCTTCAGTCACATACTGTCGGCCAAGGGGATCGAACCAGCAACCGTCCAGTCACAAGGCTGGTTCCCTAACCTCCAGCCCACGACTGCCCCAATTTGTACCTGAAATTAAGTCATTTCAAATAAACGAATCATAAATCTAGTTTGATACTTAGCTACTTGTTGATGATGCTACATGTGGCTACCACTGTTATCATGTGACCTGTGCTTTGCGTTATGTTAAGCTACAAGCAGTTCTGTGGTACATCATCCAGCTCGGTATGCTATGTGGGGGGGGGGTTGGGGACCCTCAAGGGTTCATCTCAGTACCTTTAGTCAGGGAACATAACTGAACCATAATCCACTGAAATGATATGTTCTAAGCTGTACTGACTCCACACACCCCGTCTCGTCTCCAGGCTTTTATTTTACTGTTCTGTTTTAAAACATTCGGTTATGAAAAACTACAAATACAAACTTTTCACCTGGAAAAACGTATTTAAGGTTCACAATCAGACCTTAAAACCACTGTTGAACCTTTGAGGGAACATTTACATTGTTTGTACCTTGATGAACGAAAAATGTACCTGCACAGAACCTTTATTTCTAACAGTGTACAAGCTTGACATCATTAAAATAGCAGAACCCTTTTTGGTGCTATGCAGATTCTTTGCAGAACCATGTACAACACATTCTCCATTATTCAGAACAACGATTTCACCATGCAAAGAACCATTTAAGCTCGCACTGGTTCTATATAGAAATCTAATCTATTTCCTTTACTAAATAACTCATAAAGAACCTTTTTTTAAGAGTGTATAATTAATTGCATACATACATACATACATCATCTAAACCGCTTATCCTTCTGGGTCGCGGTGGGGTGCTGGAGCCTATCCCAGCTGTCATTGGGCGGAAGGCAGGATACACCCTGGACAGGTCAATATAAGAATATTGCAATATTCTTTTAATTATTTTAAATGGCTTGTTGAACTAACCATAGATTAGGATGAGTGTACAAAGGGAGCAATTAAATGAAGTCAAAGTTATTAAAAAAAGGTCACATGCTTTGATAATTTGGCATTGATTTAGAAAGCATTGAACACAATGTAAATATGGTATCTCGGCATACTTTGTTTATCCAGTTTTGGTGTCGGTATTGTATTTAGGCCATAGCCTACACCCAGTACACACATGTTAGATATAATTTGCATCTCTGGATAATATCAGTAAGCGGCCTAAGGCCACTAGCTCTCGAACCGCTGCCATCTGTGGTTAAAATGATCCAAACAGACCAAACCAAGCCAAACTTCTAACATGTTTTTTCAGACCATCAGCAGAACATCAAACAGAATATGGTAAAAGAAAAAATTCCAGCGAAATACTTAAAGTCAGTGAGTTTATTCTCAAACCTGTATCTCAAGCACCTTAAGCTCTCTGTAAAGATCTCCCTACAGAAGCAGTTGCAGCTCAGCAGCATTGGGCCAATACAGCGAGAACAGGGTGTTCCCTTACTGTGCATCCATAAACATCACTGAGACTGGACGGCAGGGACGGAACTCAACAGGAAGTGTTTTTGGACCTTTTTGGCGTTCAGTCGTGTTTGCATAAGAGGTACATGATTTATATGTTTCTGTAGTGTGAACTGGAGACCATCTGCCTGTCATTTCTAACACGGGAGCTTGCTGACTTTGGCACTGCTGCACATTTTATCTGCAGTACATGACACAGCCGCAGTGAAGGGCCCTAATGATTAAAACAGAGCCCTTTTTCATTCGATAGAAAACACCTTCTTACTCTTAAATCTGGAAGCAATTACAAAGCATCAGTAGCACGCATTCTGACAGTTCCTCCGTGCTTCAGCTGCCTCTCTAAACCTTGGAGATCAGGCCAGGGTACTTTAGGGAGCACTGATAGTCTATTGTCTTTGCCATTTGGGTCTCTCTTTGCTATTAGCCAGAGTTACGAATGAATCTAAAGGTTACAGTCTAAACTGTCAGGTAATATCTGCATTACTTTCTTTGAAAACATTGATTTTGCAACACATTGCATACAGAATTCAGCAGGGAAAACATTCCAGTCTTTTACAGAGCACCTTATATTTTACGGTTGGTGATTTTCTGCAACAGTATTCAGGTTTAATAAGAGAGGCAGATAGAAAGACATTCAAATATTTGCATTTCATGGTTTGGATGGATTTGTCTTCATTTTCGCACAATATTTTCTTAACTGCTTGTTATATATCCAGTTACGCCTCAGAGTATAGCATACAAAGATACTTCTTTTGTCAGCAAAGGAGCGGCTTAGGCGATGATCAGCTCGAGAGGGAGGCTTTAAATAAACCTTAGGCCACATAGTTCAGTTGCTAGTGCAACATGTAAGCGAGAGTCTGCAGCAATCAACTAAAAATCTCTTCAAGCATTCTTTAAGCTATTTTTGCAACCAGGCATCAAAATCGAAATACCTCCTCAATATCAAAATCATCTGGGTTCCTCTGGAATATATTTCATATGTCTGCGACAAAGTCAGTCTCTCTTGGAAGACATTTTACATAGATGTCAGGAAAT